ACTACGTAACGCAACTTTCACTCCATAAGGAAAATTGTTTTTATGTTGTTGTAACAATCAGGCAGACCTAGATGTTGATATATATCTTCTTCATATACCTGAAAATACAGAGAGCTAGTACTGTTACATATTGTTCATATACACATATATATGTATCATTCTTTAACATTTTATAAAATATCTGTACTAAAGAATTTTAAGTAATACATTGTTCTATTCTTCTTTTATACTCAATACTCCACTGATCAAGAAATATTTTTATGCTCCTTTGTAGAATGTCTGGTCTCTTTTATATACGACCCATTATTGAATGAGCTTATATCACGTTCAATCCCCCTTTAGTTTGATCCTGAACTCTTGCTATTTAAGTGGCAAATAGAGCAGAATTCTAAAGATACTTTGTCTGAATTTACATGAAGGCATATTCCTGCATTATCTAAGCTTTGATCTATTTCTTCATCTGGAAATAGGTTTGCTGTATCGTTCAAACCATCTACGGAATTCATTATTTCATCACATTTAGGAAGATCTTCAAAGATGTCCATGTTGAATGTAGAAAATTGATCAAAATCAAGTCCAATGGTATCATTGTCCTTTTTGATGTTGGATAGGTCTGTTTGGGTGATTGGCAATAAATTATCCAAATCCTTTGCATTGTCCATGTAACTATCTTCTGATATTGAGTCTGTTGTAGAAGTTATTATGTTTATTGGATCCTTCCCTCTTGGAGTGCTCTTGATGTCAACTAGAGGATTTTTGGAAATTGTATAAGTATGATCAAAATACAGATAGGACAGAGCAGTTTCATAAAAATTAAAATCCTTACATGCACTTTGCTTCTTGGTACTCATATGAGATTCACTGACTTGGCTTTCAGTAATACTTTCTTCTGTTGATACATCATTGTTGACAAACATATTATTATTCTCGGTATTTAACAGACTTTCTTTCACATTCGTGTAACATGAACACTTACGTCGATTATCCTTTTCTATCGGGTATGCAGATGTATGATTTGGGTATAACAAATTATTTTTTTGTGTACTCATTTTACGGAGACCCTCGTTAATCGTCTTGAGCAACGCGGTGATGCTTGTATTATTGTTTAAAACGTTTCTGAGGTAAGCCACTTCACCGCTCAATCTTTTAATGTCAATACCTTGTTTTCTTATAACGTTCACCAATTTTTTGTTTTCCTGTTGATAAAACGATAACTTGGTTTCTATTTTCTCAAGGTATGCTTTCTTCCTTAATCTGTTTTCACGAGCCATCAAAGCGTTTCGATTAAGGCAGGGCCGTTTAGAGGGGCCCCTGCCCCGTTTTCGTGGTTCTAAAACGGTCTCGTTCTCGGACACCATAGCTTGTTGCGTGTTTCTCCGAGAATCCCTCAATCTCATACTGCATTTTGACTCGTATGTGTCGTCATCCTCATCCGTAGAACTGTCCCATTTGACATTTGTTCTCCCTCGAAGTTTTTCCGACATTGTTGCAGGTAAATATATGCACTTGCAATGGTCGGACTGTCAAAACAAGATCGCGTTAATGTTACTTTTCAGACTGGTAAATAAATTGCACTTTCACGCTTCGGTTAATTGATATATCTCACTATCAACGACCTCGAAACATACGCAACTTCTCTATTCAATTAGAATCACCTCGAATATGCGTATTGAAATTGAAGCAGTTAGTTGCACTTTACATCTTAAGCCTTTGATTACGCACCTCGGTCTAGATGCGACAGCGTGTACATAAAATGTACACATCTCTGTAAGATGGCTTGCACAATGGCATGGTGGGGGGTAGAAACGTGATGATGCCGCGATGGCGGAAAAATCGCGGATCGCAACGTTGTACGTAGAGGCAGTATGGCAACGTAGCTGAAATGAGCGCATGCGTTTGCGATGTTAATTAAAGAGGATCGAGGAGGGGATTTCGCCTGAAGGAGAAGGGAAAAAGAGATCGTCCGTGAGTGCGAAACGAAGACAGCTGAGGGGAAGATTTACGGGTGCAACGGAGAAAAGTATATGGTGGTGGTGGTGAGACCAGTTATATTTTTATTGTCGACTGGCATATTTCGCGAAGCTGATCTCGCAACGAATGTGTGTTTGACGTATCGAGGAAGGAACGAAAAGAGATGCCTGAAAATGTCGGGTAAAAGTGAAACTCGGTGATCCAGGCTGGGACGGAAGCAGACAGTGAAGGGAAGTGAATTCGGTGGAATTTATTCCGCGCGTTTATCTCTCGAGAAGGTCACGACCATTCGTAAAACCGCTGCGTTGGTTGCTGGTTTAATTGAAAGTGGGGAATCTCGGAGGAGCTCTCGGAATCGTGCAGGTCAACGCGTTACGGTGTGCGATACAAAGGGAAAAGGAGAACGCGTAAGTACACTACGAATTACGTCGCCTGAGAGAACGCGCGTATGCTGGAAATCTTATGAAAAACATCCACGAATGGAGCACGGGTGCGTCTACGGGATGAAATTTAGCGCACGAGCGAAGTGTGTCCGTTGTTATTGTTGTGCATATATTGATTTTTAACAAGCGACTCGTACCCGCTCGACGTTTGTCTGTGTCACAAAAAAACATGTTATTCGGTTCACACGCTTTTCTCCCCTTTGTGACTATCATTAAAGTGGATCCATTTGACACTCATCATTATCTTTTCGCCCGCTCGAATACGATAAGTTGTTATTCTTCATTTGCAACATTGATTTTCTTTAGATTTAAATATGGCTAGTACTGTGGCAACAGAACCATCCACTATTGTCAAATTCTTGGTTGACGGAATGACAACCACCACTGTCACCACATTCTCCAAGGAGGAAGAACCAGCACCAATATTCTTGCAGACAAAAGCTGCACAAGTTATTGCTGGTACATCTGTGTGGTTTGCTCTGTTCATAACATGTCAACAGGTACTTCAAAACAATATGATTATATTCTTACTGTGTGGAATACATACATGATCGTTTTTGTTTTTGTTTGTAGATTTTCCAGCATTTGAGGTGGTATACCAATCCGACAGAACAGAGATGGATAGTGAGGATTTTGTTTATAGTCCCAATATATGCAACACACTCTTGGGTCTCTCTAGTATTCTTTAACAGTGATAGCTATTACGTTTATTTCTTCACTGTGCGAGACTGTTACGAAGCATTTGTTATATATAACTTTTTGTCTTTATGCTACGAGTACCTGGGAGGTGAAGGAAACATTATGTCCGAGATACGAGGCAAACCTATTCGTTCCAATTGCCTATATGGAACTTGCTGCCTAGTTGGAAAAACATACACTATTGGCTTTCTTAGATTTTGCAAGCAAGCTACTTTACAGTTTTGCTTGGTGAAGCCAGTGATGGCATTTGTCATTATATTCCTTCAAGCATTTGGACATTATAGAGATGGAGATTGGTCTCCAGATGGTGGTTATCTTTATATCACTATAATTTACAATATCAGCGTGTCCCTTGCACTTTATGGACTTTTCCTTTTCTACTTTGCTACAAGAGACCTGTTAACACCATTTGAACCCGTCTTAAAATTTTGTACCGTCAAGAGCGTTATCTTCCTCTCATTTTGGCAAGGTAATATTTAGAATTGTAAAAGTGTTTCCATATTTCCTAATTACATATTAATTTTTATTCTTTTAGGAGTTTTACTGGCTATTTTGGAAAAAGCAAATGTAATTGCGCCTATCACTCTAGGCCAATCGAGTGCAGGCACAGTATCTGCTGGTTATCAGAACTTTTTGATTTGTATTGAAATGTTGTTTGCAGCTATAGCTTTACGTTATGCATTTCCTTATCAAGTATATTCAGCTGGTTGTGTAACGGATTCAAGAGGAAGAAGCGTAACAATGCAGAGTATTAGCAGCAGTCTGAAGGTATTAATGGTTCAATTAATAATTGTTCTATAAATCGGAAAGTTAATGGAACAATTTATTTTAATATTATTCTTTCACAGGAAACTATGAATCCAAAAGACATAATGACTGATGCCATTCACAATTTCCATCCTCAGTATCAACAATACACCCAATACAGTTCTGGTATGTATGATTAACTTTTTTTGCAAGATGTCTATTTTAATGGATATTGCCTTTGAGATTCTTCTTAATATTTATGTTTCTTAATGAATATATTTTCATGTAGCATGATGTAGCGAATGATAAAATCTAATATCATCTATATTTCATTTTGTACATTTACATTTTTTGTTTGAATTTCTTTATACTCTGCAAATATAAATAGAAGAGACGCAGAGATATTTAATCTAACATTTAACAACTGTTACGAATGTTTCATCCGAATTTAAACGAAGTAAACGATTTGAATTTCGTTTACTGCTAACCGTTGTAGTCATAATTTAATAAAATTGCCAGCATTTATAAATTACGAGCAAATTACAACGTGGCAACTCTATGAAAGAAAAAATGATTTCTACTGTAATATCAGTTTACATGTGCCAGTTAGGATTCAATTCTTTGAAGGCACTTCCTTTTTATTATTTTTCAGACGTTAATACCAACTTGCCGTATGAAAAACTATGAGAGTGCGAGGCATCAGTTTTTTAATTACAAGAAATTGGACGTCAGGCATTTATACAGTTTAAACGAAGATTGAAAAATTCTTAACGCTCTAACTATAGTTTCTTAAAACTAATATTACAGATTTACTTGATGTTTTAAGTTCGAATGAAGTTGCAGGGTGGGCAAAGAGTTCTCTGCTCAAATTATGATTTAAGGTTTATATTAAAAATCTGTATACGTATATACCTATATGCATACACACACACACACACACACACACACATAATACATATATAAGCATACGATTCCTTCATTTTGCAAGTAACGAAATCTACTGTACAATAGAAATTAAGCACTTAACACAGGAGCACTTAGAGTACAGTGTAATTTCATAAGAAAGTTTTGCTTTTTAATAAATGCAGAAAACGAATAATAATTATGGCAGTATTGCAATTAAGTATCATTTTAAACGATAGGCGAGGAGTAATCGAACAACATAGTATTATCTTGTAAATGCCTTGATCTGTATCTTAAAAAGAACATTGGCATGCAAACGTGAACAACCTCGTTTAATTTAGTATTACTCATTTAGTATTATATTTTGATTCTTCTTTTCCTGTGACTATTATTTATGCATTTTAATCATTTCTACCAGAAATATAAAATTTGACTCATAATTCTATTGCATTTGCATGTTGAATTGGTAACATTGTGTTATGCATTTATTGTAATAATCTTATGAGAATAAAACTGCTGTAGTATATCATGCAGTGTGTACAGAGAAATTTTATCCAATTGCATACTTGAAAGTGTACAAACTTGTGCATAGTCTTGAGCATTGACGCAGTCTAGAAAAACAGGATAAATTCGCGCATGATTGTTTTGCTATTCGCTGAGTGATCGATGTATCCATTAGTCTCGATGTTGCCAGCGATAATACATACGTGATGTAATGTAACAATCAGGAGCTCCCAAAGGACAACGTGGTATGCGGATATCCAGCTTTGATCCAGACGATCCACAGAATATGCCAATTCCGCCGCCGCAAAGACGACACACTTCTCACCAACGTGTTGCGACTATCTCTCAAAATTATAACGAGAAAACAATGCTGTTGAGCAGCGATGATGAGTTCCAATAAGTTTTAAGAAACGAATAAAAGAAAAATGAAAGAGAAAGGAAATGAATCGCATTTACAACAGAAAAACTAGAAAATGAACGCGCCAAACTCACGTTGGATTTTCGTGAAATTACAAAAATTAATCTGGTCTCAAGGAAACGCAACATACGCCATTGAAATTTGATTGTACATCATTAGGTAGGAACTTAACTCGCTCACGAAAACAAACAACAGATAGAAAAAACAAATTGTGCGTGATGTGAAGAGAAACGATTCCATCATGCTGTAATAGTTCCATAATGTTACATCCATGTTAATACATGTATTACGTTACATCATGTAAACATAGCATAGAAGATATTTATTTTAATATGCTGAACATATTTAAGGCAGTGTTACCTATAGAGGTGGCTCTACTATAATAATACAACTATTCTTTGTTTCACGGAACGGTTTACGTTTCTTAAAGGGAGAGGATTGTACAGTACTTAATATCTGAATACTCACAAATACGTTGCCGCATTATTTACCGTAGTTAATTAATATTTTTACACTCTGATCTAACATTGCATAATACGTTTTTACATCGATTTCCCAGTCTGAATGAAGACCAATGTAATTTTGCCGACGGAGAATACTAATTTCATTGAAATATACACCGGGAAAGGTACTTCTGATTCTTGCACGCGTCCGGGAAAAAATAATATATATATATATATATATCTGAGCCACAAAAATCTTTGCGTCCTAGATTAAAGAATTAATGAGTGTATATATGGTTACAATAGAATGTATTTAATAATGCAAAAATTAAAGATTTTTTCCTTCAATGTATTTGTTTTATTCGAATATAAGTATTTGATATTCGATGTTCTATGCTTTTATCTTTTGTTGAACGGTCTGCAAGGAACGAGAATCAGCCTCGGTCTTCATTAAACTTTATTTTCTGTACAATAAAAATATTTCTGTATACATAATTTATATTTGTGGAACGAATATATTATTCTGTTCCATGAAATAACAATAAAGTTCATTTGTTAAAAGTAAATCGCTATATTTTGTACTATTAATTATTAGCGTCTTACAATTACATTTTATGTCTTATTAGTAAAACACATAGCAAAAGACATAACAACGAATTCAATCTGAGAATGCGAATCAATTCAACAAAATTTATTCTACAAAAAGCATTATCTACAATTACACTTTAATTCATTAAATCGATACAGCTATCAGTGAAAAAATAACTTAGTATTATATCAACAGCCTTTCTTTTGGCGGAAAAAATATATATACGTGTACATATATGTACGGACACATTCACTCATACGTATGTGTACATATAGAAATTTCTTGTCCTAATACAATAATACAGAAAATTACAAATTATTTGATACATTTAAGGTTTCATCTTTTTTACCAACCAACCCAGTACGTGTCGGTATTTGTTACAACTTTTTTCCAGCCATGCCAAGGTGATTCTAAATCTTGTTCTAATGACAATCTGGGATTGTCAGACGGTTCTCCTTCTTTGTCATCGTTGCTAGAACCACAACTACCCTCCGTTTTCAACGGTTTGCGTTTGGCGTACAATATATTATTATCCTCGTCCTCGATATCCTGATACTGTAACTCGTCGTCCATGTATACCACAATGTCATTCTCCTCGTTAGTATATTTGTTGTATTTCTCAGCAACATTTTGCCTTAACACTTTGCTAATAAATGTCCCCGAGGAATCTTCTTTACTATGATTAGCGTTGTTCTGCGTACCCTCGTTAGGTATTGGTCTAAATCCTATTGATCTGAGACGAGCAATTTTCAAATCGCTGTCCAAAGCATTAACAGGTACAAATGCGGACATTCGTTTCATTGATACTCTATTTTGCTCCTTCGTGTTCAAAATATTGTTACTTGTCAATGTGTTTGTACTTGTAGAGTGTTGCGCGTTACATGTAGGTTGTACACATTTATATCTCTTCTTCTCCTTATCTGATCGGGCAGCTTCGCACGTTTCAGATTTTACATCTTTGCTCTCGCCGTATTCTATCTTGATAAAAGTGTACTGCTCATTGCGATTACACTTCTGGCCAAAATCGTATAGCTTCAAGTTTCTCATCAACGGTTCCTTAATAAGGGAACACTGGGTAACAGCATCACTTTTACAAGGTTTAGAAACTGCTTTCGTTGTTTCCTCAGATTTCACGTTTTTCAGTTTTGTAGGAATTGGTTGCATTAATTTCCTTTTACGGTTCATGACCATGGTTTCAGTAGTCTTCACGATCTTTGATTTCTTGTTGTCGTCTCTTACGTCGATACTAATATTATTTACAATCTTCTCGCCGACGTCGTGTTTATTTACTTTCCCAGGTACAGTGAGATTCTTGTGTATTCTATTCTCTTTCAGCGCTTCAAACTTCTTAATACCTTCCACCTGCTTATCCCTAATGCGTTTATAGCCTCCGATTTTAATCAGTCTGCTACGATTTCTTAAATTAGTCTGTTGCCCGGATATTTCAGGATTAATTTGACATTTGCTTAACGTACAAATTCCACCGCCGAATCGTTCGCACGAGTTTTTCGAGTATGTATTACTTATACATCGTAACCTTCTGTTTCGCGGGCCACGTATTTTTGGACCAATTTTTGCATCTATTAATAAATTCGCGATCTCTCGTCTTTGCTTCTTGTTTATGTGCTTCTTCATTGGCGACTTGATTGCTTTCACAGTTCTCAAACGTGTCCTTATCTCATTTCTGGTTCCTATGTTTCTTTTCATACTTTTCGACGACTCCTGTAGACAATTAATCTTCTTCTGTTTCGTTATTTTACTTTTAACATCCTTGCTGTGACTGCTGGAATGCAAACTGTCCTTCTCGACCGATGTATTAGAACCGATGCATGCATTAAAACTCATCACGCTTTGCTCCAAAATATTTGAAGACTGAACAGATCTTTTCTGCAATTCTCCATTCACTATTTTTCTAGGTAATCTTCTGTGCCGTCGGAATTTATAATATCTTGCCGTGGGTAAATCGTCCGAACCCTTTTTCTTTGCTTTTGTTTCTTCCACAACATTCTTTGACGTTCCTATTTTGCTCTTACTCTCGGACTGAACAATTGATAAATCATGCGGTTTCAATTCCGCAGATTGTTCCGATGTTAACCCAATCATATTACCCATGAGCAGCTTCGATAAAGGATGACACTTGTTGTTGATCAAATGTAGAATTTTATCTGGCGTCAATGTATCTAAGGAGTCGAGCGATTTTAATTCTTGCGACTCTTTCAGTGCAGTTATGGCCGGTGGATTATTATCTCTGTACAAAGAATTTTTCACGTTTAATATATTACTGGGAGCTGCAGATGAATTCCTGTCGTGAATACTCTTAAAGTCATTTGTTGCATCTTCGTGCATCTCACTGATATTGTTCTCATGTTTATAACAAGAATTTGAAGTTGCATCTGTTGGACTACAGCATATTGTTGTGCTCGTATCTTTAGTTATCTTCGTTTTAAGCATATCCGACTTCATGGTATTAGGCGAAATATAATTCACACGCTTGGGGAATTCATTTGCTCCGATCGTTTGTACCTTTCCATCTAAACCTTTATTCTTATCTTTACTAGATAAACTTACGGTATCCGTTTGTTGATTAGCTCGGAGTAAATTAAACGGCTTAACAGTCCTAGAAAACGTCGATAAAGTATTCTTCTTAACATCGTGTTGCGTACTATGCGACGAATCATAAAGTCCTGTACGTATAGAAATGTTCGTGTTGTGGGCTTTGGATCCTTGAGTACAAATATGAGTTAGCGTTTTATTCTCAGACATAATGGACATACTGGGTGTGCTAAATGCACAGTCTGTATTTCCTTTCTTAAACACGTGACGAGTTACTATTGCACTTTCAGAAGCACCTCGTTCCTTTTCGTCAAACTTTCTGCTCTCAAAATTTGGGGATTGCAAAGATGCACTTGCTTTATCGTGCTTCCCCTTTTGTACTTGTTCAGAATTGTGCAAGTACTTTTTAAACTCGTACAGGCTCGAAGAAGAGCTATCGTTGCTCTGAAGTGATACAGATCTCGGAGAAGACTGCTTGATATTCCAGGATGGTGGATCTTGATTGGTTAAACGTAACAAAGCAAATTTGTAATACTTTGTAGAGTCTGGATTCACACCTATCCAGAAGTTCACCACAATATACAGGCCGTCATATCTGTAGCCCGTTTTTGGAGCAAATTCGTTCAACAGATTATAACTTCTAATTAATCTCACTGGTATTTGATTCTCATAGTTTTTAATTAATGGATCCGTGTCAGGCTTTTCATCGAAATACTTCTGGCCTGTAAGAGTGAGAAAATTACCAAGATCAACATCTTCATTCAAATTAACACTCGAAGTGCAAAATGAAGTAACTCCAAATGGTCCGATCTGGATATTTTTGTCAAAAGGATCATGAACTCGATCTCTGGAGCAGTCCATACGAATACCCCACCAAGAGCCAGGCGAAAATTCTGGGATCGGCCCATATGTGTAATTCATAACCTAACAAAAAGAAAACCATAGAATTCATTCATGCAAGAATAGAGAAATCGATTTGATTAGATCTTACATTTTTGTTACTCCAAGATGTAGCTTGCATTTCTTCTTTGGATGGTTTTAGTTGACAATTGGAATTGAGTTTCATAAACAATTTTTCAAAATCTTCCTTATATTTAGCATCCATCTAAAGAATCGATTATAGTTTACAGTTTTGTATTCAATATTCAAACATATAAAATACCATACTCACTTGATGTCTACGACATGATTCATGTAGCATTTTTTCATTTTCTTGTACAGTGTTCGCGCACGGCATCAATGAAGCATTCTTCGCCATTTTATAATAAAATTTTATTTGCATAATAGGCAATAAGCATAGGCACGAACATTACACACATAAACAGCAAATCATAACATGTTCTCTGCTTATGTGATGCAGCCAAAGTCTTGAAGGCACGTTAATTACTACAATCAGAACACCTACATACCCTCTATATTTAACTATTTTACACTGTTTGAAATTTCAAAGTTGGAGCAGATCCACGTGTTTTAACTCATTTCTGAACCGATATTTTTTTCTCATTATCGTAAATTAGACATGGGATGAGTTGCTTCAAAAACAAATATGGCGTACTTTTATTTTTTCTCGCGTATCCACATCCACTGTAAGACATCGATCACGTATTACGTTGTACATTTTGAACAACTATCGTTCCTGGATCTTTCATTTTTACCATTGTTTTCCTTACAGTGACGAACAAACAGTAAAACAGTTGAATCACGAACGATACGATTATGTACGATACAAATATTTAAGATCGAATCTATTGTACTGTGGAATGCATGTACGATCCGTTCATGTGAATCGTACGAGCAGAATGCGTGAGAATTTCTCCCACCTAAACCTAACCATAAAATATATGCATATATACGCTATCACTCTATTGCACGATGTAATTCATGACGAAGTAATCGTGGTTAGTTTTAGGTTGCAGTTAGTTGGCCGGGCCTGGAAAATGCAACTTAAAAAGCTATAAAGCCACGATGTTTTTAAAAAACGCAAAACTAATTGCGTTCTATGGGAGGAGAGCTATATTGTCCAATAATTCTTTTCTGAAAATTCCAAAACGCAATAGTTTCTTAGTACTGTACGTATTGTTAAGTATATCACTCGAAATAGGGGTTAATTTGTAGAATAATTTTTTTAAAAATATAACATACAAGTATTACTAGATGTTTCTCAATACTTAGAGTTCATAAAAGATTTTCTTGTTAATGTTTCAACGTGTTTAAATACAGTGTTCCAGAAATCGGAGAAGATCTGCAAGGGAAAGATCCCTTATTGAAAGAGGGTAAATATCCGGAATTCGATAGTATCACGGTGGAGAAATGTATAGCAGCTATCGGGAAACAAGCTTTAGATTTCGAAAATGAAGTGAAATCTTTAGGGGAGGAATTAAATAGTAATTTTTTGTTTTCTCTTCTCTTATAACATTTCCTGACACTTTTCAGCAGTAGTTCATATTGCATAACAAAACAAAACTTTCTTTCAGATGACAATAATGTCAGTGCCGAAAATTTATTTCAAAATGTATTGAATCCTATAGAACAAATGTATACTTCTTTGTATATTACATGGGGCATTGCAAAAATATTATACCTTGGTAATCACAGTGGAATGCCCACAGAATGTTACTTAGGTATTCATGAGCGTGCCAGGAAAGCTTTAGGTAGTAGATATACTAATGTATCGATTTATCAGGCATGCAAAAATATCATGAACAATGACAATATTAAACTGAGCATAGAACACAGAGCAATTTTGAATAAATTTATACTAGAAGGAAAGTTAAATGGGTTAGATTTGAGTAAGCGAAACAGGGATGTGCTCACAGAATTAGTACATATATTATTCAGAAAGAAAAAGGAATATTCGCAAAGGTTGCAGGTTGGTAAATACAATCAAAATAACATAGTATGACTGGCTGATACCCTCTTTTATAGGTAGCTATAAATCAATATAAATTCACAATAAAAGATGCTTCAACTGTGAAAGATTTTCCAGAAGAGCTTTTAAAAGCTACGGCAACAGATGCAACACAATATAAACTTGGCCCTTGGACAGTAACACTAAATCCTTCCATTTTTAAACCATTCATGGGTATAGTAATATGTATAATAAACATGTCTTGAGTGTTTTTATCAAATTAAAATGTTTAATTGTTACACACTAATTAGAATATTGTCCTGACAATGCACTGAGATGGAGAGTTTGGGAAGCAGATGTTACCAAAGCATCAGTATTGCAAGACAGATTTATACAGACTAGTACTTTACTGGAAGAGATTCGACATCAAAGGATGAGGATTGCGAAATTAGTAGGACACAAAACATACGTTGATTTAAGTATGGAAACCAAAATGGCTAAAAATGTAGAAAATGTTTATCATGTGTTAGATACTTTATTGGAAACAGGTAAAATTTATATGATCATCAATGGAAATGACGAACGAATAATGTTTGAATCTTCCTTTTTCACAGCTCGTCCAGCCCAAGAAGTTGAAATCAAAGAACTAACTGCATTTGCAAAAGAAAGAGGTTCCGAAGGAGCATTTCAGCTTTGGGATATAGCATTTTGGGGAAAGAAACAACAACTTAGTACATACAAGTAATTGTGGAGTGAACTTTAACTTTGTAGAATGTGGAGACTTTAAATTTAATATTGTTAAATGATAATTCAATTAATAGGTTCAGAGAAGACGATTTTAAACAATATTTTCCACTGTCGAAAGTATTATCTGGTATATTTGAGTTAACTGAAAAGTTATTCAGTATAAAGATCATTGAAAACAAAAGACCAGATGTTTGGCATAACGATGTTCAATTTTTCGATGTTTTTGATCTAAACGAATCGAGTACTAACCCCATAGGGCATTTTTATTTGGATCCTTATGAAAGAAACGATGGTAAAGTGAGGGTATCGCATAATTTGGGTTATATGGTTCCTCTGAAAGATAGGAGCAGAGTAAGTGGAACGAAACCATTGGTCGCTTTGATATTTAACTTTGAATCACCACTTGGAGAAAAGTCTCCTTTACTGTACTTTAAAGATGTTAGGGCTCTTTTCCAAAAGGTAACGTTTTTCTTTGTAAAAACAATAAATAGGTTCTCTGCACGTAATTCTCATAATTGTAAATTTTGTTATCTAGTTTGGACACATGTTGCAACATATATGTACAAGAATCGAGAATGCAGAAATATCAGGAAATTCAAACGTAGAATGGGACGCAGTATTTATTTCTGATTATTTCTTTGAAAATTGGTTGTATGAACCATCAGTTTTACAACAAATCTCTTCTCATGATGTTACGGGAGAACCATTACCTGCAGATATGATCAAAATGTTAAGAAGTACAAAATCGCATTTAGCTGGTTTCAATTTATGTAAAGAACTGTACTTGTCGCGGTTCGATTTGGAGTTGCATTCTTGGTAAGATTAGCTGAAGTAATAAATATTGATAATACTTTAAATAATTTCTTTTTTATTTTTAGCGACGATTTTTGGAACGATATAATGATTCGCATTTGGAATAAATACTTTGTTATACCTTCGTATAAAAAAGATTGTCACATCTGTTCATTCGATATTATTTTTAGTGGAGATTTCGCTGCTGCATATTACAGGTAAAATATAAGAAGCATTGAAGAAATACATAAAGTAAACAGTTTAAAAATTATGAGATCAAAATAATTCTTGTTACAGCAATATTTGGTCACAAATGATTGCTGCCGATTTATTTAATGCTTTCGAAGAGAAGTCAAAAGATTTAACGGGGCCGATAGTAAAGGAAATTGGTAACAGATACCGTTCAACGTTTATGGCTTTAGGAGGAAGCCAGTCAACGAATGAAATTTTCCGTCAATTCAGGGGAAGAGATCCTAATCCAAAAGCACTTCTGATAAATACTGGATTAGATGTTAAAGCCAGTATGTTAGAATCTAATACCGTAAAGCATTAACAAAACCCAAAAGTCTCGAAGGTATAGTGTAAGAAGCTTAGTTTCCTTCTTTGTACAATTAATTAAAAAATGTAATTTATATAAATATGAATGTTATAAAATCTCTGTTTTTCGTTATTCAAGTTTATTTAATTATAACACGATATATACGACCTTCTGTGGTTACAATGTTTAGTTACTTATACAATAATTCTTTGTAGTATATTGTGTTTTAAGTAGAACTAATTTTTCTAAACTAGTATATATTTAAAAGAATAAAACATTTTTTAAGTGTGAAATTTTTACATGTATTTACAGAACATTTACTATTCATATGCTTAAAAGCCTGTACAATTTAAATGCATGTTGAAACTTACATACAATGGAATTTCCTCAATTATATTTATACTAAAGATACGACGACAATAGAAATAAATAGGAGAATTATTACTATCCAATAACCACAAGTGCGATCCCTGGAACTGATATTTTGTACTTGTCGCGTTTTGGTAATTAATGATTCATCAGTTCTATCCATGTGATCAGCCAAATTGTCGATTATTTCTGTGTAAAAACCATATTTTGAAGCACATCTTTTTATATTTTCTTATTTACAATACGAATGAATTTGAATGAAATTTACCGTTTTGATGATCTACTTCATTACTAATGTTCTGACCAATTTCTTTTTGCCTTGCGATGACTTTACATAATTCTTCTAATCCTTTGTCTTGCTCTATAAAAAATTAAAATGAAATTTTCAGTGAATTAGATACAAGGAAACATAGCTATAACAGTTATACCTTGTAAAATTCTGTCCTGCTGAGCTCTAACATCGGTAACAGACACTTCTATATCTATGAGTTTCTCATCGTCGTCGTCATCAGCCGCCCAAGAAGTTGTGCCACCATCTGCAAATGCTGATGCTGAGGAAGTAAACAAATTTGTGCGAGAAGATGTAAAATTGTCTGTTCGAGCATTGTAAAGCCTTTGTAATTGTACGTCTTTACTCTGTAATAATTCTATCTGACGTGTTCTACGTTCTGCTTCTTCAATAGTTCTGTATATCCATATTTTAAGGAAAGCATTTGTATAAAATGACAACAACAAAAATATGTGTCAATCGTTAGAGAAAAGGATACATAGTTTTGGATCTTAACGCATTGTCAACTTTAACTTTAAGTTGTTGCACATTTTGGCTATATTTTTTTAGAAGAATTCGTACATTAGAAGATAAGCTTGCATAAGCTCTTGAAGCCTTTGGATGTTTATTGCGTGCTGTGAGTTGTTCCATAATGGCTCTAAATTGATCCTCACAGGCATCATATTCAGTTAACCTGTTTATAGATAAAAGATATCGATAACAAAATTTAGGGAAAAATAAATGGTTGCGTAAATTACGATCTTTACCATGGGTCGGAATCATCTGTATAAACTGGTGCCATATTCGAAGAATTATTAATCACACTTCTGATGTAAAGGAGATTGTGTCTGTATTACACTGACATACAACAATAACACATTGGTGGTGTGGCTTTTTAAGTTATATAAATATAGATGAATATTCTATAATTTGAATAATGTTTTTGTGAGACGATCTTGAATATCCAATATGATGTTCAAATGAAACGTCAGCGAGACAGGTTGTCGGTTGTGCCTTTAATGTGTACTCTGAAATGTTTTGTATACAACACACCTATCTATGTACTATGTAGTTACCTAATTCGCATAGGAAACTGCATAAATACAAGTATATTAATAAAAAGAAAAGAAAATTTTCGGAAAAAATGTATACGGACTATAGATACTACATAGGTTTCCAATAAACGATTTACACAGATTTACATATCACAAAAATGTACACTGTAATCATTCCTTATAGATAGACCATTCACTTCAATTTTAAGTTTGAGCGTTTTGCGATTTACTAATTGGCGCTGCATGGACCCTGAACGAAGCTTCATTTTTTCGTCGTAAGAGGCGCCACTGATGATATCCAGCAATTGATTCTTACCGGAGTTTACATTGTATCTTATGAGAAGAACTACAGAATCGTTCGAACTGTGGAATAAAAAATAATGTTTTACTGCTTTTATATTGAGATTTTTTTTATTTGTTGTACACTAAAGTTAAATCTACTAAACGATAGATAGATTGCGATTTGTTTCGCGATTATGACTGCCACAGCAACATGTATTGTAATAACAACATTATATATACTTACGATTTTCTTCACGTCTCGTGTTCGTTTTTGCCAGAAGCGCTTCTGATGTTAAAGTAAGCTGATATGTTTGACCTGTTACATATTCAGTTAACAGTTTCATGTTTTTCTTGTTGGTCGCATACTGTTTCCGAGAACGCTATACTGGATTCTGCAGTAATAGCTTATAGTACATGAATATCAAGTTTGATGACTATCAAATATCAAGTTTGATGAATATCAAGATGACTGACGACTAGTTTCGTTGGTTGATGTCCTATAGAAGTATGTGTGTATGTCGATGCTGTTCAGTGGATTATTGAAAATAAAATAGAAGGAAAACGAAAGAGAACGGGCAACATAATATGGTCCCTAAAACAGGAATTTGACTCCTAACCCCTGGTCAATTGCGACGCTATATTTAGCAGAGACTTTAGCTGATCGATTCTGTGGTGCGTCGATTGATGGTTCAAATCCACCCACGATCGACGATTCACGTTTCATACATCGCACATCCACAAATGTATTTACATATATCTGATTCCTTATTATCCTATTGAAGGAAGGCGGTTGTTTAATATGCAAGCAGTTAGAGAGAATAATCATTTACACACGCGAGAAAACAATTGATGCTGGTTACTGCTCGTAATGTATCCCGTGACCGGAAGTTCGGGTATCGTTCGTTCCTAAACGTGGGAGCTACTTTCGTAGCTTTTAAGTTCGCGCCCAAAATAAGCATACAGAACTCTGTCTCGAATGAGAAGAATCTGCCAATTTCGAAACATTTACAGAGACGCATCAGCTTCCAAAGAGAGAACCTTTGTTTATGCTGACTTTACGCTTGAAAAATCTATAGGAATTGCAGCGTTTAAACGGGGCATTTAAGATCGTTTTTCTCGGTACTCCAAACGCATGAAAGTCGTGGAAGAAACGTGTGGGCAGATCGGACGAAATAAGGGGAAAGACCGTATGAAGCAATTGGCAGTGTGTTTCGGCTCGTTGAACCAGTAAATTGATCCAGATCACGAATTTTCGTCTTCCTACGCGGGAAGACACAATTACAGCGTTAATGGCACACGTGCGGCCGCGATGGTCGCACGGTGACTAATTACGTTTGCAATTGTAGAATTCCTGATAACACGGTTGCGAAAGCGTAGGCATCCGACATTCGTGAACTCTTCTACGAATTGATAATCCCGAGGATCGCTTCCACGTAATACGTGGTTAATTTTAATGCGAACTCGCGAGACGGGTGCCGCTCGGATAATTATTACTGTACAATTATACATGCACGCCGCATATTTTCGTATGTTCGTAGAAGGGAACTTTCTTGAAGCAATTCCGACGGGGGTGTTCTCACAGCCGCCGACGATTTTAGGAGCCGCTGTGTATCAAATTCGCTCCGCTTCGAAGGAATTCGGAATCGGAGATGTCCCCTGGGCGCACACGATAGAATTCCATGTGGTTGCCGCCTTTCCTGGAACAAGCGTGTATTCTGAGAGAAATATGGCTAAATAGTAGACGAAACGGATACGACGACGCGCGACGTCAACAATAAATTACAAACGAAACGGAACACTAATTTCTCGCTCGAGTTAGCCAATTAAATTCGAATTAAAAATACTTGCAAAATTAACTTTTCTTAGAACAGATTCGCACACGACTTCTGCGGAATCGGACGGACTTTAAGTTCGAATGTCAATAGCGGAATTTTCCTCGTGTTTTTGAAACGGGAAGGAGAAAAATGTGTAATTTTCTCTAATTAGTAGATCCACTGGTCCTGATAGATTTATCGATGGCGGGGGGCTATTGTACCGGTCGAGGAGCCTGCGTCTCGACGATGGATCACTGATCTACGCCACCGAGATCCAGGAACGAAGGCGCTGTTGTAATAAACTCGAACGTGTTTTCTGCTTCCGACAATCAGTATGCTCGAGCCTGTCGGATAAGTTGGTTGCTTCCCACTCGTACGGTCGACAGCTTGACAGTTCTTCACAGTTCCTCGATTCGGTCTCGAACAAATCGCGCCAAATCGTCGTTTCACCTGTATCGTTCGGGACTGCCCACTTAAGACAGTGCCTTGGCCGGTCTCACGAACAGCAGCAATTGTCAGACACCGTGTTCTTCGCAGAAATGAGAATTCCCTCGATCCGAAACGCAACATCGGCGCGTCCCGAGAAATTTTCAAAATTACCCCGCAACGATTCATGTTCGCAGAAACGTTCTTAGCCCGGTGGTCGCGGGCATGTGCGTGGCGTTCGCGCTGAAAAAACGAAGACAAGAGGAAACAAAAGTTGAAAGTCACGAGCGGGACCGACCGACCGACCGACCGAGAGGTTTCGAGACTCGGCGAAAAGACGAGTAGGGGAGACAAAAGCGAGGAAGGGTTACCGTGGCGAGGGGCCCCGGGGGGTCGAAGGGGGTCCAAAGGGGTCCAAACTTCGATATTCTCTCAGCGGCGGTCCTGCGGATCTCCTCTCCTCAAGAAAAAAACTCACCGGACTGGTTTTAAAGAGGGCCAGGTCGAGAGAGAGAGGATGCGGGACATTTAACGACTTGATCTTGGCGGTGTCTAGAAATCTGTGAGGTCGGATGAGAGCGGCGCGCAAGAAATCATTAAGAGGACGGATCGCTTGCGCGGGGTACCTGTGCACGGCTCATCCACGGCCGGTTGATACAATTAGCGGCTGGACGCTCGTCCCATGACAGTGAACTGCCGGAGAAGGAGAAAGTGCAAGTATGCGGTCCTCGTTATCGCAGCGTATTTAGCGATTGTGTCATCGCTAACGGGCCGAGGAGACGCGAACACGCGGCTCTCCGACGGGCACGCCAGTTGATAAGAGCTCGACGAGCGATAGCATGGACTCCGTCGACCTAATCGGACCTTCGATGTCAACTCCATGACTCGTTTCTAAGCTCGGTGACCCGTATATAGTCTCAGAGAAGAGGATCTTCGTCGTTTCGGTACTTTTACACATTCGATTATCATCATGTCCCTGCCGGATGTGATGTAAAGACTCGGCTACCGTGTCAGCTGCGTTGTCGGTCACGATTTTCGTGCAACACCATCCAGCGAGATCTGTAAAACGGAGCACCGTGAGACGTTCGTACCGATCAAGATGACTTCCGTGCTACCGGAAGAGGAGAGCAGAGCCGTCAAGCTGAAGCAGAAACTGATGAACGACGTCCGCGGGAAGGAGGAGGCGCGCTCATTTCTCAGCTTCTCCAGGGAGAACCTCAGCATCTCGCAGTCAGAGCTCGAGCAGGGCTTCAACAAGCAATGGTTCCGGCCTCGCAGGCACACTCTTCTGAGTGTCCTCGCGATCGCAATCGCCGTTCTCTGCCTGGGCCTGGAAACGTGGAAGCTCCGCTGCTCCCTGACGAATGCGAGGCAGATCGAGGAGCTGAAGCGGGACGTGGAGACCTTGAAGCACCGGTTCCTCGAGCAGGATCTCCTGGACGAGCTGAAAGCGTTCGAGGAGCAGGTGAGCTGGACACGCGGATTATCTAAAAAAAAGATCATCGATCTCAGTACATATGTCGTTGTGTTACGGTGAATTCGGGAACTTCGTGAATCCCGATATAAATGAAGCACTCGCGATAGCCCGAATCTCGTGCATCGAAACGAGAAATCGGGTTATCGGGTGTGGGCTGCATGACACAAGAGGTCGATGATAGGCGGAGGGACCACGTGTTGCTCGTCCGTTCGCCAACGGTTCGACGACCCGCCGATCGCCGAGAAAATGTACCGCGCTCGATCTACCGAGGCGAATATACGATTTTAATGGTTTCGTCCATTCCCAAGCACATTAATACTCGCTCGAAGATCTCTTTAGGCAACCGAGAGTCAACAGAATTTAAGCGAACGGCAAATTTACCGCGACCAAACACGATTCTGTTAAATCTGCTGTATTTCCCTGCGGTCCCTCGAATGCCCGAGATCGAGACAAGGTATAAAAGTTCAAATCATTCTGAGCGTAGCTGTATGCCGGCGAGCCGAGCGACGAGGACGACGACGACGACGACGAGGACGATGATTCTGGAGAAGCGGACATCGGCAACGCCGACTACGATATCGCGTACGATGTCGACGACGATGATGCCGGTTCAACCTCGACGGAACGTCATGCGTTTTCTTCTCCCAGCAACGAGGCCGGTTCGTTCTTCCTGTTACCGCCGCCGAAATTTGCAGCCAGACCCTCCGAATTCCCGGATTATCCGTCGACGATCGCGCCAGTGCCGTCTCCTACGCAGCCTCCGAGCGCTGATAAGGCGATGATGAAGTTGCTGACAGCGGTCCGCAAGGCTGAGGCTAAGCATGGCCAGGATTCGACGGCGAGTACCCGAGATGGTGGTCACAGGAATCCGGAAAAGGGTCATAGCTTGGAAGAGCAGGACGGGAAGAAGTCTTCTGAACAGAAAGGGGAACAACCAAAAATTAGTACCAAACAAAAAAGAGACGTTCCAGGTAGCAAAGAGGCGATACCCCGGAAGAAATTGGGCCGGAAGAGATACATCAGGTGCGGGAACCGTGCTAGAAAACCTTTCCGGAGAATTGAACATGAGATTCAAGGTCAAACTTCTTTTAATCGCGATTAGAAGATTGGCTTTGAATCACTGTCCAATTAACTTAATTATATAGTAGTATATATATAGTATATTAGTATAGTAGTATATATATATATATATATATAGCAGCGGAGCTTCCATCTCTCTCTCTCTCTCTCTCTCTCTCTCTCTCTCTCTCTCTCTCTATATATATATATATATATATATATATATATATATATATATATATATATATATATATATA